TTCAGCTGCTTTGATTAAGTCAAGGTTAATCATCCATCTACGAACTAATAGTGTTTAATGTGCCCAATAATGCTTTGAATAAACCAGTCATGAGGAGCTGACAGTCACTCACAGTGAATATTTTTAACACATTTTTACTCTTTTGAAAAGGAGCTATACTGTCCTAATAAAATAAATCCTAATGCTGTCACTGAAGTTTATGTTTGTGGTCAACAAATTATTATTAATGACTTTATTTTTTGAAGGTTTTTATAATTATTATTGTATTTTTTTGTGATAAATACATGCTACTGTATTTAACTTTGTACTGTAGGCATGTGTCTGCGGTCCACAGATATTGAAATATGTTTGCAAAACAACTACTATCTACTACCTAACTACTTTCAGGCAATTTCTTTTTCACACTTACGTTTTTATGCTATTAACAACTGTGTGGCTCCTGTGTTTTGCCTGAAATAAATATATAAATAACTCATCTTGCATGAATAACATAGAATAAATAAAAGTGACAGAAATTTACCTTTTTTAATAGTATTTATAATTTGATAATTATGCCTTTTCCTTTGCAGATAGAAATTGGTATTTCCTACATTTTCAAGGACACCAATTATGCTTCATTAAGGGCCATTCATTTCTTAAACCAAAAATGTTCTGTTTCAGATATAAAGAGCCATTTCATTGTTTGGCATTCCCACTATTAATATTCTGACTTCTGACACCTGTGTCACCTGTGTCACCTGTGAAGATGAGAAGTCTCAATATTTCTTATATTAAAAACCCTTCTCCACTCCCCCTTTTTGTATTATAATTGTGTATTCACCAAACACAGTCTGAAATAAGCAATGCATTTCCAAGTGTCAGCAAATCTCCCAAAACAAGACAGACGAAAAAATGTAAAGAACCAGGACTATTTCTCAAAGCGACAGATTAATTGGATTCACAGAGCCAAAGAGAAATAGATTCCCATAAGTCACTCTGATGAGGTGCTGTCATCTGTCTGTTCAATGGAAAAAATGACAAAAGATTAGATGAGAGAGGGATATTTTTAGTCAGAGCTGCTGAATCACCAGCCTATTTGACCTCCCCTCAACACTCGACCAACCTGCAGCTATGGAGGTAGACTGAGGGTGGGCAAAAATAAAAGGTTTGCTTATTTCGACCATGATGGCTTTCTACTAATATTCAGTATGATTGGGGAAAAAAATAAAAATAAAACAACAATCAAACACAAATTGTTGCTAAAGCTAGTATTCAAACTAACTAAACACCAAACTTGGAGCTTTTTGTTCAATGATGAAGGGACTGAATTTAGCTTCATCCTCGCTTCTTTCTGGAATGTCCTTTATCTGAGCATTAACAAAATGCCATGTTGAATATGCCTGCTTTTTGACTGAGCCACAATGGTTTTCACTTCTTCCTCGAATTCCCATCTCTGCCAGTAGATGACAGGGATTTGACTCGAAAGGCTGTATGTCATTTATCTTGGTATGTTCTCCTTTAAGTTCAAAATGTTATAAGACAAAAGCAGGGTAGTGGTGATGAAGGGTGGAGCTGCTGATAAAATCAGATGGTGACTGTCTGTGTGGGGCAGAGACAGAGCAGCGTCTGCAGCCAGGGAGACCTCTCTGTGTGGGGTTAACCACCAGGTAATTGAAAAGTGCTCCCAACATGTGACCGCTGTTTACTCGGTTCACTGCCCATTTATCTGCTGCTTCGGCTGATATTACTGAAGGAGACGAGGGCTGACGAAGCACTTTGAAAACACCTCCATGCACCTTACGCTGTTCTTGACTATCTGACAATGTGCTGGATATAAGCTTTGCTCCATCACAATTGGGAGAAGAGCAATTCGTAAAAGTATGGTTGATTTTATAAATTAAAAGAATAATTATTATTTATGGTTATCATACATGTTATGTATGTTAACATGTTACCTAAAATAAACCTAAAAGTTTACTTTTCTCTTCGTAAAAGGGGCGAGGCTAAGGGGCACACCTAAAGGGCACATGGGGACTTAAGGTGGAACTACTTGACTACCTTTCTTTTTTGTAACATTGCTTTTGCTCAATCAAGAGCAGGCATGTGCAAACGTCTCCTCCTGAGGGCCACATCGGGAAATCGGCCTGCTTTTGCGGGCCCTACCCAATTTCCAGTGTTATTCTCAGACTTCATATTTTTCACTTAATGTATTATATTTAATATTATATTATTTATCTTGGCAGAGTAAGGATCACAATTGCAGCTCCAGATCTCTGCACAGAGAGATGTTATATATATACTTTATTGTATGTTTTACTCTATCAAGTCCTGGGACTTGATAGAAACATCTAAAGGGCCACGGGCCGGGTTTTTCCACCACTGTTCTAGAGCCACAAGGGTCGTATTTTATCAATTGTTAAAGAGAACAGAATCGGGTTACATTACCTTTAAAAATTTACAGAACATTCCTCACATTCTCACGGATTCCTGTTATCATAAATATACATCTCAACGAGTTTATAAAGGGTCTTCACAACTTTTAATGACACAAGCATTAGCCACTAAGGGAGTTCGATCCCACCTGCTCCCACTGATGTCTGCTGTCCTTGTGTTCTTGGGCAAGACACTTAATCCCACTTTGCCAGAAGCCCCCGCTGAAAGATCAAGGCTATGCTCACAATGACAGAGCAGCCGTCCTCCTGTGGACTCACCACCTGCAGAGGATCAGTGAGGGGCTGCTGCTCTGTGACTTGGGTGGCATCTCTGATTGCCACCCCCCCGACCCAGAAATGGATTAAGGGGTAGAAAATGGATGGATGGATGGCATTAGCCACTTGTTAATAGAGATGCTCTCCTTTTTTCTTGGTGAAAGACACAAATAAGACACTCTAAGTGACAATGTTGCAATAAAATGTTGTCACAAACCTGAAAGAGATTGTGAAATCCCAGTGAGACTTTCCTGGTGAAATAAACTTTAAAAAATATGATAATAATTGCCCAAAAAACATGTTTCACTCACAAGAAATCAATCAGATCCATCCATCCATTTTCTTCCCCTTAATTAAGTGTCTTGCCTAAGGACACAACGACAGCAGTCATCAGTGGGAGTTGTGAAGTAGGTCTTACGGTGGACTCGAACCCACGACCTTCAGGCTCAAAGGCCAATGCTCTACCAACTGAGCTACTGTCGCCCTACAATCAGATCCCCATTGATCTAATTTTACCCAGAAAACAATCCATATAGATTTCTTAATGTGGGTGTTCTTGGTATAAAATCATTATCTTCTTTCATCTATTTTTCTTATGGCTGTCACACCTGACTCTGTGTTTTAATTGATTGTCCACAAGGCATTATGTCTGCTTCAGTTGCAACACTAGGTTCAAATCCACTTGAAGGCACTAAATATGGAAATCCCCAGGAACTGATTTATTTCATCCATTTTTTTTTTTCATGAGAAAAGAGCCAAGAAAAAAGATACTTTGCAATTTTGTAGTTACATCATATACCCCAGTTGTAAATAATTTAATATCCATCCATCCATCCATTTTCTTCCCCTTAATCCATTTCTGGGTCGGGGGTGGCAGTCAGAGCTGCACCCAGTACACTTAGCACCAGCCCCTCACTGATCCTCCTGCAGGTGGTGAGTCCACAGGAGCTGAGATCTTTCAGTGGGGGCTTCAGGCAAAGTGGGGTTAAGTGTCTTGCTCAAGGACACAACGACAGCAGACATCAATGGGATTCATGAAGAAGGTTGTTTGGTGGGCTCGAACCCACAACCTTCAATGTCGCCACTTCAAATCAGTAACGTCACCAGTCCCTTTTTTTTTTACAATCTATTGCCAGAATCAAAAATATTAATTCCATTGCCTTTGCACCAGATGATATTTATTACATGTTAGTTGTACTTGAAGTCACTCATGCTTGTAAAAGTCGTGGGTCATTCAAACAACATGATTTCCCATTAAAAAGAATGTCCTGACCCTGTGCATGTCTGAAAAGGTCACTCTTTGAAAATCTAACTCTTAGCAGTTTTTGTCTAATTGTTTTACAGCTGTATGGTGGGGTTAAAGCTTGCACTATCGCTACCTGTTTTATTTACTGAAACCAAAGCTGAAACTATTCCTACATTCTTGTAATTTTAATTCCCACATCCTCACACTAGTACAAAGTAATGTTCGGGAGAATGAAAAACCCCACAGAACACATTGCTCCTGCACCAGAGTGCGGAGTGTAGCAGCAAGCGACGATTGGCTGGGTCTTATCTTGATGTGGGGAGCTGACAGGTACTGCATCACATTAAGGGCCTTACCAATCTTCACTGTCAAATCCAGCAGGAGGTACACAGATAGGACCCCCCACCCCCTTCCACCCCACTCTCTCATCCCTCCTCCAAACCTGCTGTACAGAGTTTCTATGTCTTTTGCTGCACAACATATTGATTTGCCTTCAACTTTACAAAGACATAATAAAGACATAACATAATCTTCTTTAGTTCTTTCTCCTAATAATCCATTTGAGGTTCACACTTGTTCCAAGTCTTTCACTTTGGCACAGGGGCATCAGTTGTCCAGAGAGGTATCTCTACTGTCACTAAAATAACTAACATTCTCAAGATCTTTTCAAGACACATTACTGAAAAACAGTAATTGTTGTCAGCAAGTTACATCCAAGTGTAGCTTGCTGACAACAAATGTGAATTCACCACTAAGTAATATGTCCAAAGTGTCAATATGTTGCGATGACACCATTATGTTTCAACCTAGGGCCTGGTAATTGACAAATCTTCTACTCTTTGACAGATGTGGATGGATGTTGCAGGCCTACCTTCTCTATGAGGAGTCCCCACTTATGCTCAATAGAGGTTTAGGTTTTCAGACATGCTTGGCCAATCCGTTATCTTTTGCCCTTAGCTTAAAGACCATATATTCATTCATGACTCTAACCTATGCGTCTCCCAAGATTTATGCATCCTTGTATTTAATATTTTCTTGTTGATTACGCAATTCCTGTTTTGCTGCAGGTGGAGTCCACTCAGAGTATGATCCGTATCCTTGGCCTTTCTGCAACTCTGCCAAACTACCTGGATGTGACGTCTTTCCTCCATGTGAACCCTTACATCGGGCTGTTCTTCTTTGATGGACGCTTCAGACCTGTGCCTCTCGGACAGACTTTTGTGGGAATCAAATCTACTAACAAGGTAACAGTCACTGTTGTATGTATAGTGACACAGGGGAAGATTCATGGTCGATAAGCCAAAGCAATGCAGGATGTGAGAGAATGTTAATACATCACTGGCCAATGAGTCTGAGGAAATAAAAAAGCACAGATTCAATCAAAGAATAGAGGAATAGAGGAGCTTGACAAAGCTATGACTGAGAAAATGCTGCAACACCAAGAATGGCGTTCCAAAAGACAGAACGTAAAGGTAAAACTGCTAAAGAAGGAGACAGAATACAATGCTGCGTGAAGAATGCTCAAAAAATGTGAAAGCTCAACTCAATGAAATGTGATTTCCTAAGGTGCTAATGAAGCTGGTAAGATAGTAATTTGTCATTCAGCCAACTGCAAGCTCAGAACAGTTTGAATCCAGTAAAAACTGTTTCTCAATCTAGTGTGTCAGCCCATGGACAAGCCTTGTTAACTAAAGTGACTGTCTTTCTAAAAAGTTTCTGCTTTATTGTCTTGAACAGGTGCAGCAGCTTCATGACATGGAGGAGGTGTGTTACAACAAAGTACTGGAACAAGTTAGGGCAGGGCATCAGGTGAGTCTCGTTATAGTCTACATTATACTCAACTAAGTACTAAAAAGGGTCCTCTAAAAGTGACATACTATTCTTAAAATCAAATAAAAAGAAAACAAAATTATAAGAAACACATTGCATTCACAGCATATTATCAAGTTCATTGACATTGAAAATACACAATTGATGTTAGTTCAGAAGATCATAAAATCCTTTTTTCTTCAACCTAAATATTCAGTCTTTGAACACTTTAAAAAAGTTGTTCAGAAAGTTGTTTAGAAGAACTTCTGAAGTTGAATTCCCTTTGCAAACATTCCTTTGAACTTTTTCATGAATAGAAAATATTTGGTGAAGATTTCGTTGTGAATGCGTGCTATCTAGAACTCTGTAAAGTCCTTATCCATTCTGCTCTTCTACTTGGTGTTTCCCCTCCGCCAACAGCTTCCAAAATGTCCACAGGGGAGAAGAAGAACTGTAGAGCTGGAGTTTTGCATTTAGCTCCCCATTGAGAGTCGTTGTTATCCTGCGAGCATTATTTTACATTATCTTACCACGTGAGCCCTATAATATATACAACTGTGCAGAAACAATACACACTATTTTAGGACTGGGTATGAGAAACTTAACATTCCAGGGAAATGAATGTAATCACCATTGTTTGCTATATTGTGGACTATATATAATACGGCCCAATTTTTTATCAGATTCAATTTTTCAACTCCTTGACCCTTACCTGAAATCACACCTGTTTGTAATGTGATCTAATTTCAGATGTATGCCCTCAACTAATGCACTAAAGAAATAAAAGTTTTGGTACTCACTACAAACAACTGCATTGCTGTTGTTTCGGATCCACACATTGTCTAAAATGATCCTTACATTTCAGAATTAAGAGAAATATGGATTGATGCCATTGAGATTTTTACTTTAAAACATTATTTCTGTTGAATGTCACTATTTTGAATTTATTTCCCATTTTTCATATATACTGTACCCGAAAGCAACAATGTGTAGTGTTTTGAAGTTGCCGTTTCCTCTTGGAGGCATTGGAATATACGAGTGGAGCAGACTGTATGTGTGCAGCAAACATCTGTGTGTTACCAGCGTCCGAAGAGACCGACGAAGCTTCTGTTATTTATTGAAGGCAGTTTTATCAGCACCACTGAGCGCTGTGCAGGCATTGTACACCATCCCTGCCTTATTAAACTTCTCCCTGGCAGCATTTTCCCCAAAAGGAGGCTGCTGGGAAAATCATAAAGAAAATTCATCCATCAGATCCTCCCAGGTGAAATTAATATACGTCAAAGCACTTCTTGAACTAAAGATTTTGTTCAGCATTTGGATCAAATTTGTTTTTCATTGCATATGTTGTATTTATGTTTGGGCCTTGAGGACTCGGAAGTATCAACGTCATGCCACTGATCTGTTTCAAAGCAGAGAAGTGAGGTTTCCCCAATGTTTTCATTGATTCATGTGTTTCTCTTGTTTCTATTTTCCCCTTTCCAGCAGCTGTGGCTCCAATGTCACTAGCTTGCTGCAGTGCACAGGGTTGCGTTGCCAGATTGGTCACTTAATTGGCTGATTAAGTTGGCATGCAAAATTATTGAGACGAGAATCTTTCAACAGATTATTTTCTAAAAAAAAGCATTTAAAAAAAATTCCACTGTATGATGTATTTGTCTCCTGCAGTGGATGGATGGGTCCATGTATACGTCTACTTTGAAACTACTCGTATACATAAATCATTATTTATGATGATGATGATGATAATGCATTGGTTTTATATCGCGCTCAAAAACGCTTTACATGTCATTATTAATTTACTCCATACACGGTGGTGATAAACTACTACTGTTGCCACAGCTGCCATGGGGCACACCGACAGAAGCGAGGCAACCAGTATGTGCCTCCGACCACCACCAACCATTCACACACACACCAAACTCATTCTCGGCAATGGGGCTGAAGTGTCTTGTAGGGCTGCACGATATATTGAAAAAATAACGTTATCGCGATATTGGTGCGTGCAATATCCATATCAAAAATATGCGCGAAAAAAAAGAAGTTATTAAAGACAACAAAACAGACAGACATTTCAACAATCAACAAATACAACAAACAAACAAACAAAAAAGTATATAAATATATGCATTTGAATGTCATTAAGGTTTTTGTTATTTCAGAATCAGAATACATTTTATTGCCGCGTAAGTAACAAGTATTTGTCTCTTGCGTTTCAATGCAGATTGCAATTTTAGGTGAAAGATAAAAATATCACAATAATATCTTTATCGCAATACTAAACCCTCGAATATTGCTCTAATTTCCAATATCATGCAGCCCTTGTGTCTTGCCTAAGGACACAAGAGCAGTTTGGCACTTTACAGCTGCAGCCGCCCCACTGTGACATCAGGTGTTCCCAGAGGTTAAGTGTCTTGCCAAGGACACAACGACAGCAGACATCAGTGGGAGTCGGTGGATAAAATCTTGTGGTGGTCTCGAACCCACGACCTTCAGGCTCAAAGGCCAACACTTGTTGATGTACATTTATAAATTTGTTTTATCTCCTTTAGGTGATGGTGTTTGTCCACGCTCGCAATGCCACTGTAAGGACAGCTATGGCTCTCATCGAGATGGCCAAGAATAACGGAGACATTTGCGTCTTCCAACCAGACCAGGGTCCTGACTATGGCCAGTGTGAAAAACAGGTAAGATGGGAGACCTCCCTTCTTTTTATTTATTTTTTTTATTTATTTGACAGGGACAATGTAGTCATACATAGTTACGTTATGAAAAATGCAGCTGATGAGACACATACAGAGTGTATAGCTATTGATAATTTTCAACTCCTGTCCCTGGTTGAGCTTTTCCCTACAGTGCTACACATTAAACACAAATGATAAGATAGGCCTAGCCCTAAAACACATATTTACAACAGTGATCTTCGACAGAGCTGCTTCATCAAAAAAAATTTCTGTTCCTTCAAAAGATCACATGCAGAAAAAAGTTAGTTGCAAGAGTAGAAGGTGAGCACAATTACTCAAAAATTTAAATTACTAGGTCGTCACGTTTGGTGCATAATCGGAATTCATATCATGATCCTAAGTTACTTCTTTAAAACAACATTAAGGATTCCAAGATTCAAGAATTGCTACTATCATAAATAGCAAAGAAGATGGATTTGAACTAACTTTACCCTCTGAATTTGAGAACACATTCTTTTTGAAGTGTTTATTGTAAAATCTTACGCAGTGGCATGCTTTTATACGAAGGCGAGCCAAATGTGATGTGATTGTTTTATGGATCTTTACAAACTTTGTTTTAATCATTGATAAAAAATAATGGTAAATGCCATTTTACTGAGCTCTAGCAGAATTAGTTTCTCACTTCCCCTGCTTAACTCTATATGTATGTATGTGCCTATATGCTGATGACATGCCAAGGCGAGCACTGATAGCAGCGCATCCAATGTAATTAATGTTCTCTGTGCATTGGGCATGGCGTTCTTCGCCACATAGGACGGTCAGTCGCACCCCCCACCCCCACACCGTATTCAAATCTCAGGCAACCAGGAGGCAGAGTGATAAATTTAGTAACCTTTTTGCCGGCGTTCCCCTGAGCCCAGCCAAGATTGATGCCTCCTCTAATCTTCTCTCCTATTTAAATGGGGATATGTATACAAATCAGATCACTTTTCATGCTTATGCTAAAACAGGAAACACAGACAGGAGATGATGTCGGGGGAGTAAATTTGGTACGTTGTCGTTGGCCTGGTTATAGTCTTTGAACGAGTGCGCTGGAGTGATATTTTGAGTCCTCATTATAAAGGTGCATGTGGTAGTTAATAGCTACTGCATTATGTTTTACCAGTATGGAGTCAGACTGGATAATTGGTCTGAAACGAATACAACAAAATCACCACAAAATCATCAGACCAACAATGACAAGATCATTTCTCATATTGCACTTAAAATCTTACATTTGTTGGTTCTTATGCCAACCTGGTGCTTTTGTGTCAATTTAATTAAAAGTAACAGTTTTGGGAAAACAAATTTGAATCAAAGTTGTCATGAGTATTTGTGTGTATTGTTAATATCTTATTTACTGACACCCACATACTTTTCCTAAACTGTACTTGAAGTGAATTTGCCTCTTGTGCTTTGAGATGTTGACACTAATCCTGACTGACAGCCTCTCCACTCGAAGTGATAAAAAAATGCAGAATATAGTGGAAAATGTGGTTCAATAATCACTAAATTATATGACCCGCCTGCCTTGTTTTATTATGCATATTGGAGATTAAAAAAGGCTATAAATATTAATAAGAGGCAATTTCCAGAGTGCAAATAAGCAGTGCATTATCTTCCTGTGTGGGCTTAAAGTGGCTGGAGCCATTCACCAGAGCAGATCGGACCCACAAACACTGATGGACTAATGGAGAGCAGCGCATGTAATTTTAACAGTAGAGGTAAAAGATACAGGGAAGACAAAAGCAGTTTTTAATCCATTTAGTGAAGCAATTGATTTGGGGCAAAAACTGTAATAAGGGATATTTAGTTTAGTTTACTCGAAAGTAAAGCAAAGGGTAATTGTTTTATTTTTTATGTAGCGCGTTTCACAGACCAGCGTCGCAAAGTAGAGGTTGGCGATATGGCCTAAAATTCATGTTGCGGTATAATTTGGGACACGGATGGCCCTATCACAAAGCACTTTACAATTGTGGGCATTTGTCACTCCACTCAGAGTTGTCTCCTATCAATGTTACCTGTCAATCATCAAAACAAAGCGCCAATGTCATACCAACAACAAAACAACATAATTAAAACATTGTCTACGTTGAAAGTCTCTGCTCAATTTGAACTTTCTATGGTATTAGAAAGAAGTTAAACTTAAATGTGTATTGACAATTAAACTGGCAATACCTAACATAGGGCATAGAGCAAATACAGAAGATGTGTATAAATATCTTCTAAATTATGCATATCAACCATCAACATACTACAATAGTACACATGACTAGTAAAAATCACCTTGGCTCTATTTTTAGCTTCTGCTCGTACTTGCTCCCACAGTCTGTGACCCACTGCATGATTTGGTCATTCATATTGATCCACCTGCTTCAATATAGACCTCTTGTGTTTGTGGACTATGGGTTTATTTTAGGTTGAACCTGGTCACTTTAAACTGCCTCAGAGAAAAGCCCAAAGTGTCTCAAAGCGCAGCCACTGATCGATTCTCTCTGCTTGCGGTCAGCAACTTTTCAGACCTGTCTCTGGGGAGAACTGTATGAAGTGAGCCTCTGTAACAGTGTGGGCGGCAAATCAAATAAAGGATTAGTAATGTCTTAGAAAGAAAGTCGTGGTTGGGTGTCTCAAAAAAGACTCAAGGCATTTTATTTTTAAAGATTATTTTAACAGCTGACATTTCCATTAGATCATGTTGAGCAGTGATGGAAAAGATCACAATTTTATTTGAAGAGCTTTTGACTGCTCTATATCTATGCTATGAAAGCTATGAAACCCATGGATCATTGTCCTCTACCCCAGTGTTTTTCAACCACTGTGCCGCGGCACACTAGTGTGCCGTATGATATTGTCTGGTGTGCCGTGAGAAATTCGTCTACTTTGTCTAAAAATAGCTGTATTCGCTGTTGACGAGTGGTGACTTGTTTTGAACTGTGAGTAACCATGTAATACTTTTTCAAATCAGTAGATGGCAGCAGATAGCTAAGTACTTTGAAACTGAAAAATTGGATGCGACCACTGGCTGTAACAGGTCAGCATTGTGGCGAGAAAGGTAAAATTGGATGCGACCAACAAATGTGTGAGGGAGCGAGACAAGAGCTTTGTGGCGAGTGAGAAGTGAAAGTGATAGAGATGTTTTTGAAAATGAATTGTGCCGTTTCTGAACAGGATTAACATCCTCCGCTCTGCCCCGGGGCAGCTGTGGCCGCGTTGTAGTGGTTTAACTATGAAATGTACGATTTTTGTACAACAGCTCTCGCGAACGCACTTCTGAACTGGGTACCGAGCGCAGACCATAGTCGAGTGGACAGAACCACAGACATGCGGACCGGACAGAACCATGGACTCGCGTTCAGGACCTCCCGTGTCCCTCATCCAAAACTCCTGAATTTAAAGCTCGGATACCAAAATGTTTCCCATGCACTTACAATGCATGTTCTTTGTGTGAGTTATTATTTGACTATTTGGGCAGAGAGTGGATTTTCTTAGTTTTTTTCCACACAGTTAGTGCCACTTTATTCCCAAACTCTTGTTAATTGTATCGAGAAATATTAAATAAAGCTTAATTTCAAGGCCTGGACTTAAGCATTTTGATGAGAATAACTGTATATTGTGAATATAGGCTACAGAGTATACTGTATACATTATAAGATAAGATATACTTTATATATCACACAGAGTATGTACAGTATATATTTTTTTACATTAGTACTGTATACATTTTTACATTTTCTCCTGGAGGTGTGCCGCAAGATTTTTTCAGTGAAAAAAGTGTGCCTTGGCTCAAAAAAGGTTGAAAAACACTGCTCTACCCATCCAATCTAAGTACACGTTAAAACAGTATATGGCATAATCTGTTGCTTGATTAAAGGGTTTGTTTTTTTCTATAGGAACCCAAATGTCTGGAGTTTGATCTGTATGTGTACTTTCACTCTTGGAAAAACCACTTTAATTAAATTATAGCTACCAAAATAACATAATCAGAAAATCAAACTTGTTTTTGGATCTTTTTTTTTTATTCTTCTGATGGTCCATGTTTCCTGTCAAAACTTATGTTCCATGTTCCTTTCGCTCTAGTGTTCACAAGCCCACATTGTTTTCAGAGTTTACTATCCAGAGATCTGTTCCAAAGGCATTTTCAGTGTCAGAGCCTGTGTGGTGGTGGAGAGACACCCGCTGGTCACTGGTGGTACTATCACAGTGTTTATCATGCAGATTAAGAAAACTAACTGTCCCAAATTTGATAGTAAAATAGTGATTCAAAATTGATGCCAAACACAGTTGAGTATTCTATTTGTTTTTTTCAAAGGAGAATAAGGTTGTGAGTTTGAAGGGACTCACAACCTTCATAAATGCAAATCATGCATTTATGAAGAAAGTAATAAAGATTGTTTGTAGATTATTGCTATCCATTCTATATGCTTTCAGAGCCTGGCCTGATGTAGATTGAGAGATGGTATGTGGATGAGTACTTTAGTGTGTTATAGAGAAAAGATGTATGTGATCATAATTTAATTTGTACTGTGATGGTAGGCCTCTGAGAACACCAGGCATCGCAGTGGGGCAGCTGCGGCTGTGGCTGTAACTGTTGTCGTGAAGTGTTTAAGATTAAAATTGTAAGGAAATATCAGCAGGGTAAAAAAAAACTTGTCAACGGCCTAAACCCAGCTCACGTTACCTATTAGTGGGTGAACAGTTACAAGTGCAAGACAGTTCACCCATGTTGCCTATAAGTCTGGTGTGCGTGATTGATTAGTTTACCACCACTGGGTACTGACTGAATGAAGAAGGTCATTTCTTTAGGTGTCGTGAATAGCGCTAAGTATTATGTATGTGGTATTAAGTATGTAGGAGCTGTGCTGGAGAGAAGGATGAGGGCTCTAATGCAGGGCATCCTGGGTAACTCCAGTCACCCTCTGCATGACACTATGGTCGCTCAGAGGCTTATATCACTGCACTGCCGA